TCTTATGTAAGAGCAATCAACTCCCATCAGTGGAACGAAACTCTCGCAACATGTCACGAATAGAACTTTGTTACAGCACTTTCCGACGATAATCCTCAATAGTTTGAAATCGACTTTGTCGCTGCCGATGGTAGTCAAGATGGATGGCAGTATCAACGGACCTCCACGTGTTCATATCCGTATGCAACTCCTCAGCCACTTGCGCGATATCTTGCAACATGTGAGAGCTATCAAGATCGAAGAGATGCGCATGCACTTTTTTGGGACCAACGGATGCAAGAGACTCATAGACGACAATATCATAAGTAGAAGTTGTGACTTCTGGCAAACCTCCTATACGGACATGCAGTTGTGCATCTGGTGAGACAGGAGTGGGGACAACGCAAGGAGCAGGAGATGGAGTAAACATAGCGGTTGGCGAAGCAAAAACAACTACAGAAGCAGTGACGATGGGCATTCCCACATTGGACGGCGAAGCATAATCTGCAAGACGTTGACAATTGGCAGGAGACGGTGCCGGTAATGACAATGGACGGACAGTGGCCGAAGGAAGAGCGGAAGAAGCAACACCGACATAAATTCTTTTGACGAGACTTTGTATGTGCGCATATCTGAAGAAGGGCTTCAGAATAGTCTCATCCGTCGGACAATAGGGCAAATCAAATGTCATTGTTGCAATCTCCTCATTGGAGAGCGCAATGAAGTCATCGTGCAGAAGAGATTGTAACATCCAGCGGGACTCCACATCCGAAATATTCAACGGATTGGAGGGCAGAGAGGATCCTCGTTCCGAGCGCATATCAGTGAGTTTAGTTCTCTGCCAATCAAGGAATTTTTCCCATATTTGTTCATCCTTCACGACCGTCGCAGTTTTCACAAACATTTCGAAAAAGATCTCATTCAAGACCTTTCGCAAACCAACCTTCTTTGCATCATCAAACCAGTGAGAAAGGTAAGCGCGCGGATGAGGAACACGTGCAATTGGCTGTGGGGGATTGCTATCATCGGGCACGTCAACAACTGTCGGACAATTTCGTGTTTGGGACGGGGCACGAGCAATTCCTTCACCTTCACCACGTTGGGACTTCAAACACGGATCACGATCATCATCGAAAAGCACATCCATAGGGATCGTGCGAAGTGCTTTTAGAACCTGAGTCGCGGTTTCACGACAAAAGAAAAAAACTCATTCCAAAAGTTCGTCATAAACAATATTTTTTGTGATGAAATTCTCGTCAGGCAACGCAACACGAATGTTTGCGCAAAGAGATACATACAATTAGCCATGCACAAAAACAAGTTTGCGCAACCAAACCGCGGCACGAGAGACAGTTTGTCCTCGCGACTTGTTTATGGTCGCGGCGAACACAAGACGGATCGGGAACTGCTTCCTATGCCATTTGAACCCCGTGGTTTCACCATCACTTGTCAAATCGATTTTGGGGATCAGTGTCGTTTTACCGGTGCGCATTATGCTCACTTCCAACAAATCATCATCAACAATCTTATTAAGAATCAACCTTGTGTCATTACAAAGTCCTTGTTTGGGCGAGCGCAACAACATCAAAGGCGCACCAATTTTCAAGCGCAGTTTGTGAGGCAGAAGACCAGACTCATCAAGAGAATTTAAGAACTCGCGCTCGATGCCAAGTCCGTGATCATCAGAATAAGGGTAATCAACACTATAACTTTCACGCACCTCGCCAGGGAAATCGTTGAGAACCATATCGTGAACACACCCCGCATCGTTATTAGTAGCGCAGAGAATCAATCGAGCGTAAAAATAGTCAGCATCCTCAACGTGGTCACAAACATCCTCAAACGTCCAAGAAATCAAATCACGAATAGGTTTATCAGTGCAAATCTCATGCGGTTGTTTGACCGTGGTAGGTTCGTTAGGAACAAAACGAATATGATCATCATTCCCAATACGCATAAAAAACACGCCATACATTCGCGCCATTGCATCATCCCCTAAGCTTAAAATCCGCATATTATCAGTCAGGCAATGAACCTCAAAAAATTTCCACAAAGGAGACATTTTTATAGAGGCATCAATTTGCTGTACTCGAGACCCATGTTTCACAACCGGCAAAACCTGTCGAAAGTCCCCGAAAAGAACCAAAACCTTTCCTCCAAACGGGAGGTTACTGTTACAGACATCTCGAAGCATAATGTCAAGAGTTTCCAAGTGGAACTTGTTGCTCATTGCAGCTTCATCCCAAACGATCAAGTCGGCACGGCGGATAAATTCGGCAAGTTCACTCTGTTTTGGAATATTGAAGGGACGCGTGTTATCAGGCTTCAAAGGTGCTCGAAATCGCAAGTGAAATGTTCGACCATCGGTCAAAAGAGTCGCCACTATCCCACTCGACGCCACAGCGAGTCCAATATCATTACGCGACCTGATCCCCGCCAAAATTGTTTCTATGCAAAAAGTATTTCCTGTTCCCGCCGGCGCATCTACAAAAGCATAAAGCGGTTGTTTCTCTTCCACGACCCGAATAACTCTTTGCACCAACACTCGTTGGCGCGACCGAAGACGTCAAAAATTAGACTCAAATTTAGGTTGCATTTCAATCGGATCATACGACAATTCGTCATTTACAATCGATGACACAGTCCTGTTCTCGTAATGCCTGGACTGTTCTCGTAATGCCTGTTTATGTTGTCGACAATCGTTTCTCCATCAGGGGTCAGCTAATAAAGACTGAACAGGCGGATGTTTTTGCCAGACTCATGCAAGATACGGTCAAGATTAAAAAACAATAAACATTGCAAAACGATCGGAGGAAGAACCTGAGAGTCCGCGCGATATTGAAAATCATCACACATTTTTTCCGAATGTCGTTGAAAGAATTGAACAGGATCGTTGACCGGCCCAAACGGCAGAAGCATAGCGAATACTTTACGAACCTCTGCAGGCATATAATGGAGTGCGGCCGTATCTATACATTGATTATATGCATCATCAGTTTGCAAAAGTCCTAATCGAAGACATACCGATCGGAACGAATCGTATTCAACTTCATCGACGGTACGAATTTATGCAAAAGAGCGTGTTTCACGAGAGTGTTCATGGTTTAGCAACACACGGAGATAGAAGCGTTCGCCTTCCGTGACCCTGACATAATGCAATCGAGATATTTTTTCGAAAGGAGCACCATGAAGAGCACGCTTTCTTTTGTTCCACACCTTATGCTGATTATCCCACAAATGAGTCTTAATAATTTCATAATACAAAGGAAGCTCGTGTTAAGGAACACGTTCGTTCAAAGAGTTGTGATTCATCCATGCCGTCAATTTTGTGCTCGGAGGTCCGCGGGAAACAACATGATCTTTTGTGCGTGGTTCGAAGACCACTTTTTGCATGTTTTCGATATGTACGGGAAATCTTTCGACTGCGGGCCATTGTTCCGCAAGGTCGAACTCAAACAGACGCCATCATGCCTCGCATGCACCAACAACACGCATATCTTGATAGGATTTGACTTCATCGACAGATGCATTATTATCTTGTTCGCAATCCATGGCACGATCACCCCTTTATACACGTACTTATACACACACTTGGACGCCTTGATGTCAGCACAACATTCAACATTGATGTGGCAGTTAAACCTTATCAGCAAGTACAGGTTATACGGGACCACTCGACGATTATCATAAACAACGCGATTTTGAACCACTGTAACGCCACCGTCACTTGGTTTTCTTCTCCTATACGAAGGGTAAGTTTGTTCATCTTTAAAGGTTGTCGTGAAAATGAATTCTTTCGGAAACCCTTTCGTGCATTTTCCATTCTCGGTACACGAAGCATCGCTTTTCTTCTCACCGCAAATGTCGTGCAACATGAATTTGACAACCCTTTCTCTCAATTCCCCTTCAGGCGGAATCTCCGCACACACCACGTTGTCAACAGCATCTGCATTGCGGATTTTATCATCCAGATGCAAGATAACCAATATGTGTGCATGCGATAGACCCCTTTTTTGGAACTCTACTACATACAACATTCCATCGACCCTCCCAAAGATCTGTTTTTTTTTTATCTCGTCAATGAGTTGGGTAAGATAATCTTTGAACACTCGGGCAAGTAGATCCGGCCTGTCGCTTGCGCATTGACCCGGCAACAGCGCTTGTTGGATCTCTGACCAGTTTGTGTTACACGTCATAGTGATAAAAAGATCGCGTTTTCCGAACCGCCTCACGATTGTCATGTTGTCATGATATCTTTCGGTCATATACCGCGGTCCCCCAGTGAAGGTGGAGGGCAGAAGTATTTTTGTCCCAACACCGTCACTGTGCTGATTTTGTTCCATAGCCTCTCGCAAGTCCTGATAATATTCCGACCGCAAGTCTTTCTGATGGAATCTCACCCATTTTAAGCGAAGGGATTCAACCTTAGTGTAAGCCATGCAACAAAACTCGTGGAAAAGATGCGCCACATAAAGGAGGCAAGGTCTTTCACCATCGCGTTCGTGTAGGTGAAACGCATAGTACTCCTTCGCACTGAGTCCCGACGGCCATCCAGCTTCCAACGCACGTTGGACAGACCAACTATCAATCCCTTCCGGGAAGAGTAAAACAAACCTCAGACAGTCGTGCACTCGACAACACTCCGGAACGACAACTGTTGGCCGCTCACCCGAAAGAGGGGCACGTAAACGAATCTCGAGCTCACGAGGAAGAAGGTCATCTGCCATGAGAACACAGACCTCTTGTAGCCCCGACGGACGGTTATAACGCCTTGCATGTTCCTCCTCGGACACGGCATTGGGATTTATCACCAACTTCCTTTCATTCAATGCTCCTGGCGAAAGGTCGTTAATGGTCATGAAGTCCCTCATGTAGTTGTTACACTGTTGTAGCAACTCGTGGAACCTTCTTAATAGTCATCTCATTTGCTGAAGTTCAGCATCAAACGTGTGTGCAGGTAAATTAAGGAAATTCACTCTTTGATCAATCGCATCATCAAAATGTTGAGGATCGTGCAAGTAAAGTTGTGCAAACTGAGGACGCCCCTCTTCCCCCACAGCCAATGCACCAACACGATGATAGATCAGACCCTGAGCCCGAACTTGGCCCTGGAATCCTTGAACATCATCGCTCGGTTGTTTTAACCGCGAGGATGCGAGAGATAAACTATTATTGATTATCCTCGCATTCTTTCGAACAAATCGCCCGTTGGGAGTCTGAGACGTTCAAATAGAAAGAATCTCACGCTCCGACGACCCTTCTCGAGGCCATTCCCACAGAGGACAACGTCTCATACCTTTTCTGCAACATATTTTTGTCCATTTTTTTTCATGATTCCACAACTTAGCACCGCAATACTTGCACAGTTCTCTATCACCAATGTCGAATGCCTCAACCGTGCTAGCACCCGCGACAATAGCCACAGTGTTCTAAGCCGCTGCATACGGTGTTGCCACAGGTACAGACGGGAGCGCATTCATATCATTAGGTGCATCATCATCCAAATCATTCATTTGCTCATCCTGATTATCCAGCTCACTATGTTCCCGATTGTTCATTGAATTTTGAAATGTAACGGACGGATTGTGCGACTGCTCTGCTTTCCCCGACATACTTTGCGATTGCCTCGGTCGATAACAATGACGACGAGTTTCCTTCGAAGAAGAAGATGCATCCCTCGACTGGCCAGAGGTGGTTGCTCGAATTTCTCGAATAATATTTATAGGGACCAAACTTCGCCTCACACCCCACAAAAAACGTTTGTGAGCATCTATATCTTCTTTGCTGATTCTTGATCGCAGCTCTCAATGCACGCATACGTTTAACATGACAGTTTGTCCGTCTTTCCAGCCTTTTCTTTCGAGTAGAAATTTCATACGATGTAGACCCCGATTCATTGCTATTCATCCTATGGACTTGTTCTGTTGCACCGCCACCGCCCACTGTATTTTCAACAACTACCGCATATGCATCAAAGTCGGGGAACACAGCCTCACGTACGGACGACAACGATCCAACGTCCAAACGACGCGCGACTTTAGTGGCGCGCAGTGCCCGAAGGCGCAACATACGATATCATCTATTGCGCCTCGAATGAATCGGTTTCAATATTACTGATCTCCTTCGACGATTATGAAATGCAACAAACTTCCTAACCATTGCGTTCGAGGAATTTGGCAAGGTTCCGAGAGAAAAGCATGCCTGTGCATGAACAGTTGGGATGGAAACATGAAGGTTAGGCTGCACGCATCTTCGTCCCACATCTTCTGTGAATGTGGATGGCGGTCCGTTTTGTGCACGTGGCAAATGAAGGAAGAATCATCAACAAGAAAGGTTGTTTCGATCGTAGGAACAAAATTTGTACAAACTGCATCATGCATACAATTTTCATCAGGTCGTCCACTTTGTAAGGTGCTAGGCAGGTTTCGTTCGCAACGAATCTGACTCGTACGAACATCAACATTTCCTTCACTCCTACGGAAAAAATAACTGAGGACTTGCGATATCATCCAACAATGGAGTCGCTTGTTGGAAAGATAAAGATCTATCACTACACTGTTCTTCCACAGAACAATCAAGACCACGATCAGGAGTTGTCATCGGTTGTTTGTCACTTCTGTGAGCAGTCACATCACCCATAGCACCTACTGGTTGTACTAAAGACCCTCGAGTCCGACGACTCTGGGAAGGTGGTCGACCACGTTTGCGGTGTTCATCTTTTGATGACACCCGTGTTTCAGCTGTAAAGGAACAGTGAGTAATATCCGAATGTGAGCGCAATCCTAATCCATCATTTGACGAAAAAGAAGCATTATGTAATGGCAGGAGAGTTATCACAGTTCGGAATCGTCGAAGAAGATAACAAAGGAGCGGTAACAGGTTTTTCACAACGAAGAAGGCGTCTTCGACGCTTCCACGGAACGTGCAAGGACCTGTCGAAAGAGGAAGAAGAGTTTGGAGCGGCGGATAAAAGAATGTCGTGTGAATCCTTATCTATGCTTTCATCCCCCGCCATTAAAACGGGCGTATATGCCTCTCTTTTTAGACGGCTGTAACGTAAAAATCAAAGGATATGAGAAATATGAAAGATATAAAAATCAGTAGGATAAAATATATCCCTGAATGTTTGTATAAAGATGTAATTATGGTATTATGGTGGTAAGAAAAAAAATATAGTGTAAAGCATTTAAAAAAAGATAAAAATATAGTCAAAGGATAAACGAAGGTGACAAAACACAAAATGAAAAACGAACAGAAGAAAACGTTGAGTTCACGTTCTTTATTTTATTTTTATTTTTTTCAATGTTTGTGTGGAGGGAAATGAAAGGTCATTAACTGATGACAAATCCTATTTTTTCTCTTTTATCCGTGCATTTTTTTTTATGTGTTCGTAAAATAACGATAAGTTTTTTTTCAGATGTTTTTTTTTTCCCTATAGGCCCCTTAATCTTTTTAGGGCCCTGTGGGATCGAGTCATACGTACCTCATTTATCCACGTTTACCCTTTGTCTTTCCTCGACAGGGATCACTTTCCTGTTCGTAAGAGTTTGTGATTGAGAATGAAGTTTCTTTTGACTCCAACCGCATTCGATAGAGGCGGCTCCTACTTGCGGCCATCCTTGGGTATTCTACGTCAGTCACCGTTCACAAAAAAATTGAAGAACGGTAAAAGTCTTCCCCAACCTGGCCAAGTCCCAACCGCTAGGATGTAGTATGTGACACCCGTCCTCCTCGTCCAAACACAAAGCTTGGATCTCAGAAGTAGGCGTTGGCTCCACCACAACAACATTGCACCACTCCCATAAATGGGTCTATGCGGCATACCGTACCTCTCCCCAGCCAGCCTCGAAGGTCGTGGTTCCAGGAAGAACCATTCCTAGCGATTGAGGTCGGTCAAACTGTTGATGACCTCACCATTCCTCTCCTCCCTTGTTTGGGTAACTTAGACGAAATAGGAGCAAAGAGGGTAAAGAACAGGATTTTTTGGAACAGGCTTACGTGAGAGGAGGTCGTTCGGGATAACATGGGTGCCTTGGGAGAAAGGTTACGTTTATTGTTACTTTCATTATTTATTATCGAACGGGTTCCTTCTCTAATATTCCTTACATTACACAGTGTGACCCAACCCTCCCAATACTGTTTATTTTCCTTCATGTAAGCACCTTAATATTTTCAGCGTTCAATGCAACATAATTATATGTACCTTGTTTTGGAATAAGTATCGCTTTGCTTTCCTTGGATGATATGCAATCGAAAACTAAGAATACGTGGTTTTTTTTTTTTTTTTTTTTTTTTTTTT